GATTCTAGCAATTGGCTTTTTGTTCTCACTATAGTGGGAAATGTAATGTAAGAAGTAGCCTCTCACTCTTTTTCTTCTATATTCTCTATAAAAATGATCTGTATATAGTTCTCTCTATAAAAATTTCAGACTTTTGTCTTTGCAGTCTGTTTTGTTATCATCTTCATGAATTCCTTGACTTTGCCACTGTTCTGGCACCCAAGACTAGCACTGCTGTAAAAGATTTGGTTTTGGAGTTTTGTCCTCTTCTCACTATTTTCTCTGCCCTTTCTTAGTTCTAGTTCAGATTGCATCTTATGTTTGAAAGCCTTTGAAACTTATGAAGTATGTCCGTTCCTTATTGTCTCAACTTTTTATTATCTAAATGCTCTCAATTATCACTTTGTCTAAAGAATAAGGAAAATAGTGAGAATGGCTTTTTATCAAAAAGTCCCAAAAACAACAGATGCTGGTGTGAATGCAGAGAGAAAAGTACACTTATACACTGTTGTTGGGACTGCAAACTAGTCCAACCTCTATGGAAGGTAGTATGGAGATACCTCAAAGAACTAAAAGTAGACCTACCATTTGATCCAGCAATCCCACCACTGGGGATTTACCCAAAGGGGAAAAAAAGACAATTGCATTCAAATGTTTATAGCAGAACAATTCACAACTGCAAAGATGTGGAAACAACCCAAGTGCCCATCAGTACATAAGTGGATTGATACAATGTGGTAACTGTATACCATGGAGTACTACTCAGGAAAAAAAAAATGGTGCACTAATACCCTTTGTAACCACCTGCATGAAACTGGAGACCATTCTAAGGGCCTACATTGAAGTATTGCAAGAATGGGAAAACAAACACAACATGTACTCACCATTAAACTGGAACTAAATGATCAACACTCATGTGTACATATGGTAGTAAAATTCAACAGAAATCAAGCCGTGGGTAGGAGGGGATGGATTAATTTACACCTAACAGGTGCAATGCACATTATCTGGGTGATGGATACACTTATAACTTTGACTCAAGCTGTATAAAATTAATTCATGTAACCAAAACGTTTGTACCCCCTGAAATATTCTGGAATTAAAAAAATAGTAAATAAAACAACAGAAAAATACACACTAATAAATTGATCACTTATAAAATTAGATCCAATCCCAAATACCTCCTCTTTTAATACAGACCATCTGTTATTATCCACCATGATTTTGTTTTGGCAAGGTGAGCTTAGCAATGATTTTTGGATGTTTCCCACCACATGATGCAAATACAATGTAAGGTGAAATTGTTAATTTTGCAGAAGTTAGGATTTCTTGAAGTCAGGAAAGGTGATGGTGGAGAGCTTGAATCACATGAATAGTAATTGATTACAACAAGGACCATCTTTTCATAAAAGATATCATGATGTCATATATTATGGCATATACTTTTGTTAGAAAATTAACATTGAACATAATTTAATTCTAAGAATTTGTGCATGCTTGTCATATCTGATAAATTTGTTTTGAAATAAGGTGATATAGTTGCTTAATTTTTAATTTCTTTTTTTAGGGAAAAAGAAATTTTTATCATAATTTATTCTGAAATATTAGTACCTGGTTATCAGTCAGGCTTTTTGCAGAAACCAGAAACTATGCAAGTATATTAAACAAAGAGGTATGCCACATAAAATTAATTTTTGGAAAGGTTAAAAGATTTAAAGGTGAAACTTTGCAAAGGAATCATAGAGAACTGGTCTACCAGAGGAGCTAAAACTTTTGAGGCCACCATTGCAAATTAGAGTGTGGACATTGGGATGTTGCTCAGGAGAAGCTCTAAGTTTAAAACAATTTTTTAAAAAATGTTTATTTTGATAGATTTAGCAATACAAGAGGTTTTTGTTTACATGGATAAATTGTATTGAAGTTATGTCTGGATTTTTAGTGTACTCATCAACCGAATAGTGTACTTTGTACCCAATAGGTAGTGTTTCTTCCATCATCCTTCCCATTCTCTCCCCTTCTAAGTCTCCAATGTCCATTTTACCACTGTATGCCCCTGCATACCTGTAGCGTAGCTCCCACTTATTAGTGAGAACATGCAGCACTTGGTTTTCCATTCCTACATCACTTCACTTCACCATCTCCAGTTCCATCCAAGTTGCTGCAAAAGACATTGTTTCATCCTTTTTATGGCTGAGTAGTATTCCATGGTGCATATATACCACATTTTCTTTATCTACTCATCAGTTGATGAGCACTTAGGTTGATTCTATATCTTTACAATGATATCTTCTCACTATATTTGCACCATCTATTTTTTGACTTTTTTAATAATGGCCATTCTGACTAGGGTAAGGTGGTATCTCATTGTGGTTTTAATTTTTATTTCCCTGATGATTAGTGATGTTGGAGAAGCTCAACATTTTACGATCTTAATTGATAACATTACAGTCAAGACACACAGGAATATGGTTATCACCTCATTCCGCTTACTGAATCTTGCATAGGACTGCAAGGATGGACCTACCTGCCAAAGGAGTCTGTAGATGTAGTTCTTCCTCCCATTTCTATAAATAAAAGGGTGGGGGTGGAGGTTGGGAGTGCCAATCCAAAGTAACTGAAGAAAATTTCTGAAGTGGATTACACTTAAGAGGTGTTTTTTTTTTTCTGGTACAATTACATGATAATTATAATTATCATGTGTAATAGGATCCCCTTTTACCTTTTTCCTTCCTGGCCATGTAAATTAGAAAGGTTAAAAAAGGCCCAGGAATCTTCTCAGTCACTAGTACTATGACTTCTGTTATCACTAACTTTAGGTGCTGTGTTGAACTAGGCGGCGTGTACATATGGGGGCACAAATCCATGTAGAAAGAGGTATAACAATTGCTACTGTGATAGGTCGTATGACTTACAATCACTTTCATTGTGAGTGTGTGTTTTTGAAAGTGTCCTTTAATTTTTATGCTGTTTTCACTGTATTCATATATATATATAGTGAAAAAGAGCTGGCCTAGGTAATCACATTTACAAACTGAGTTTTGGAAAACTCTTCCAGAATCTACTTCTTACATGTCATTCACCAACTAACCTCTTTATGTTATCACCATTATGGAAAAATGGGAACCCCACTTAGGTACCAGGATAACTCCAGAAATACTAATGATTCAAGGTCACTTTTAAGAGTAGTATGATGGAAAAATGACAATGATCTATACATTTTATTAATTTAGTATAACAAATTGGATATTGAATAGTTGTACTTTTATTAGGAGAAATTCGGTTGCTAGTTTTTTGGCTTTTGATTTCTTCTTGTACTTACTAGCATCATGATTGGAAAGTGGAATTAAGTGTAATGGCCAAACAGGATATTAAAATTGTTTATTATTGTTATTTCTTTTACCATGGACTACTTAGAAATACATGGCATGATTTTCCAAATTGTGCATTACAATTCTCTCATCTTTTGTGTAGACACTGGTGAAAATTAGTGACTTAAAATGGGTGTGTGTGTGTGTGTGTGTGTATATATATATATGAATACCTATACTTATATATAAAGTACCTCTCAAATTTCATTCCTTTATTAACTGGAAAGTAAATTATTTTTCAGTTTCCTTTCACAGTAGGGGCTACTTGGTATAGTTCTCCTTAGCTCTCAGCAAACGTCATAATTGATCTTCAGCAAGTTAAATGTAGTAAAAGATAGAGTTTCCAGGGAAAAAATCACAGGGGTTGGGATTAAGACCATTAGGTTTATACCCCTTCTTCCTCCATGGGGGCAGAAGAGGGGGAACTAGCTCTGAAGATTTTTATCACATATATCATACTACCAAAAATGCCTCATTTATAGTAAATACCCATTTCTGTCTTGTCCATCTGCATTTTTTTTCCATTGCAAATGGGTTGGATGTCTGTTTTGGATTTAATAAAGAGTAAAGAAAATGTTTGGTTTTTACTTTCTGAAGTCTTTTCTTGGATCCACAGTTTAATCGTAGTAAGCAGGATAGGAGTTTAGTTTTATATTTAATATCATCTTTATATTTCCTCTTAATTGTTCTTCTACTACATATAAAAATCAGGTTCGGAGTACCAGCTTCAGCCTCCCATGTGGGGAAGATGTGTGTGGACGTGGACCTAGGGCTCTTCACTGTGGCCTCTATTGGGATCTTCTCTGAAAACCCCAGAACACTGTGAAGAAATGTTCTCAGCATGAGAACTGCCTCACACCACCCCCCTTTCTTTCCAGCCTAGAGCGAGCAAATCCACATCTGTATGAGCAGTCGTTTGACACTGCAGTTTTCACAGGACTGGATCTTGTCCTCCCTTCTCTTCTACTTCCTCTTCCTTTCTCTTCACCCCTTCCATCCTCTCTTTTTATCTTTTATTTATATTTAATTTTCCCATAGGGCTTCCCCCTTCTTTCTCCCCCAAACTTTTTTTTTTTTTTCCTTGATGGATTCCTAGTCAATTGTGTGTCTTCGGAAGGGAAGACTCCACTTAGACAGGAGGGTGACCCATACGTGCATTGGGATAGTTGTTATCAGCTGTCTATAAATGGTAGAGAACTATCAGTTATCACTTTTTGAAATGCCTTGGGTAAGATGTTAAAGTTCTAGTAAACATGATATAAGTGGTATGGCACATGCTTATAAGGTACATGACCATGCCCGTGCAGATGTCAAAAATATTTCAGATATGCTTACTGGAGACTCGTTCAGTGCTAGCAACATCCTAAGAGCAAATGTCACTAGGCGGGAAAGAGAGAAGAAAGCTGCCTTAGAAATGCACTGGTTGATCACTCAGAATTTTGTTCCCTGTTCTCAGTGCTCTACTTGTCCTCAATGAAATCACTGAAATCCAAGAGTGGAAGAGAGGGGGACACATAGAAACGTTAACAGTATGTTTCTGTGGAGGGATCTTAAGTATTGCAACAAACAAATATGATTTTGCTAATTCTTTTCTGACATCTGGGTTTCTCCTTATTTCATATTTACCTGCGGCCTGTCCTCGTTGCCCCCCAGGAAGTTTCCGACGTGAAGTCTGAGGGGCAGGCGACAGTCATTCAGCAGCTGGAGCAGACCATCGAGGACCTGAGGACCAAGATAGCCGAGCTAGAGAAGCAGTACCCTGCCGTGGACGTGGAGGTGGCCGGTGGCCGTGCAGGGGCTGAGAATGGAGTGGCACCTTCGCACGACGCCCGTTCCGAAGCTCTCAGGTTAGGAGAAGATGATGTCCGGCCTCACAGGGTTTTGCAGGCCAGGTCCATGCAGACTTCGCCCACGGAGGAGGGCGGGACCCTGGCGCTGCCGCAGGTGGCCGCTGCCTCCTCGCCGCCCGGACCCCAGGCGAAGTTCTGTTCGGAGATTTCTTTGATCGTGTCTCCACGGAGAATATCGGTCCAGCTCGAGGCCCAGCAGCCCGTGCAGGGCGCGGCGCAGCCTCCGCCGCCTCCACCCCTCCCGTGGGCCGGCGGTCAGGGACAGCCGGGGGCGCAGCCGTCCCGTCCTCCTGTCCGTACTGAGTTTGAAACCAGCCACGAACACTCTGTTTTCTCCTCCTCGGGAAACAGCTATAACGTCCCGTCCCCACCGCCGCTGCCTTGCACAGAGTCCTCCAGCTCCATGCCCGGCCTGGGCACGGCGCCTGCCCCGCCCGCCCCCCTCCCTGGCGCGACAGTGCCTGCGCTACCCGGCGCAGCCATCCCCCCACCTCCTCCTCTGCCGGGTCTGGACGTGCTGCCACCCCCGCCCCCTCCTCCTCCCGGAGCGGGAATACCCCCTGCCCCTCCTCTTCCTGGTACAGGAATACCCCCGCCCCCTCCTCTGCCTGGAGTGGGAATACCCCCTCCCCCTCCTCTTCCGGGTGTGGGGATACCCCCTCCCCCTCCTCTTCCGGGTGTGGGGATACCCCCTCCGCCCCCTCTACCTGGTGTGGGAATACCCCCTCCTCCCCCTCTACCTGGTACAGGAATACCCCCTCCCCCACCTCTTCCCGGAGTGGGGATACCCCCTCCCCCACCTCTGCCTGGTACAGGAATACCCCCTCCCCCTCCTCTACCTGGAGTGGGAATACCCCCTCCCCCTCCTCTTCCTGGAGTGGGGATACCCCCTCCCCCTCCTCTACCTGGAGTGGGGATACCCCCTCCCCCTCCTCTACCTGGAGTGGGAATACCCCCTCCTCCTCCTCTACCTGGAGTGGGAATACCCCCTCCTCCCCCTCTTCCTGGAGTGGGGATACCCCCTCCCCCTCCTCTACCTGGAGTGGGAATACCTCCTCCCCCACCTCTACCTGGAGTGGGAATACCTCCTCCCCCTCCTCTACCTGGAGTGGGGATACCTCCTCCCCCACCTCTGCCTGGTACAGGAATACCCCCACCTCCTCCTCTACCTGGAGTAGGAATACCTCCTCCCCCTCCTCTTCCCGGTGCAGGAATACCTCCTCCCCCTCCTCTGCCAGGTATGGGGACTCTACCTGCTCCCGGTCCACCTGTCCCTCCCCCGCCGCCACCCCCTCTGCTTCCCGGATCAGGTCTCCCGCTCCCCGCCCAAGCTGGCAGTAGCACTTTATCGACACCGCAAGTGTGTGGATTTCTTCCTCCTCCGCTGCCGTCTGGCTTGTTCGGACTAGGGATGGGTCAGGAGAAAGCGAGCAGGAAGCAGCCGATAGAGCCTTGTCGCCCAATGAAGCCTCTTTATTGGACAAGAATCCAGCTGCACAGTAAAAGGTAACGCGGCAGCGAGCTCGTCTTTGCACAGTTTGTCAATACGAGGGGAGAATTTTACCTTAAAACTCTTGGAAAAATTACAATTTCATGTACTTTTTAAGCATAGCTCTAAAACTCTCTGCAGATTTTTATACCTACAGATGTAAAATACGTAGTGAATCAATTTGCCCTTTAAGATCTTAGGTTTTTCTTCCTAAGTAGCTAAGTGGTGAAACAAATGACATGTATCAAGGCATAAGATGTGCTTATACCCATCTGTAAAGTTGCTGATGTGTATCTTACAGAGGGATCTATTTTTCTTAGCATGCATGCTCTGTTACCTAGTTGCAAGTCTCTACTCATGTCTGAATCTGATTGAAAGTATGCTTATATGCTCTCTAGAAAACAGGCGAGGGCAGAGAAGCAGAGGCAGTTTTAGCTAGATTATTTTCCATGTGAGAATCTACCCTTTGCTTTCACTACTTAAATTTCCATTTCTGACAAACAGCTTAAAAACGTAAATCAAATTCGTAGGCAGACTGACCCCCGAGTATGACATCCTTTAAAAGTCACAGCCTTGCTTTACTATTGCATGTTGTCTTCAGAAACACACTGTGCAAAATACACACACCCACGAGTGAAATGATTTAGTTTTGAGAATTTCTTGGCACCTCTGTAGATGACTGGGGACATAATGTGAAGTCGTGAGATCGTACTTGGGAACGATCATCATAAAAGAACACTTTCCTGGGGGCAATGGTGCATGCCTGTAGTCCCTGCTTACTGGGGAGGCTGAGGCAGGAGGATCGCTTGAGCCCAGGAGTTGGAGGCTGCGGTGAGCTATGGTTGTGCCACTGCACTCCCGCTTGGGCAACAGAACAAGACCATCTCCTCAAAAAAAGAAAAAAAAATACTTTCCACCAGTTACCCTAGTGGTATATTATTCATCCATGCCTAGTCCATACTCTGCGTTCACTGCACTGAGGCAGTGCTCTGGAAAGTGTTGGCGGGAGGGAAAAAAATGCATTTTAAACCTTACTGGCCTTTCTTGTTCTAACTTCCTTGAATTTTCTTTGTGTGATGTAGCATGCACTTAGAAACAAGGTATTTACCAGGCTTGTTCTCATTTCTTATATTAATTTTATCTTCACTGAATCATATCAGGGGACGAGAATCTCTATATATCCTGACCACTTCTAACTTTGCAATTCATTCTCTGTATAGTTGCCACGCCACTTGTATATGCCGATGAATCATTTTAAGCTGTACCCTGAATTCATTTTTCTCCAGATACATGATAGGAAGTTCTTTTGTTGTTGTTTTGCTCTTTAGAAAATGCATTTACCCTCTTGGTAGGTGGTGCCACATGAATCTGTAGCCATAGAGAAGCCAAATTACAATGTGGTGATGGGAGGTGGTGAGGGGAGGGAGGATGCTGTTAATATCTTGGAAAAATATATTTTTAACTCATGAATAATTTACAAGGTTAATAAGCAAAGTTGGGATTTTGAGATATCAAGCATTTCTTGTCTTCATAGCCCATGAGGTAGGTTTTCCTTGGATGTTTTTATACAGTGACTTAATAAGAGAATTCCTGAAAATTATTTCTAGGCAAAGGTTTCATTCTATACAGATGGTATTTTAATGTTCTCATTAAATTTATAGAACAAATGCTGATCTTAAAGAAAAGATCCTCCTTATCTTTCTCCCTTTCCCTCCCTCCCTCCTGTTAGCCTTTTTCCTGCCTTCATTCCCTCCCTTTCTGTTTATGCTTCCCACAGTGTAGTTCAGTTTGGCCCTTTCATTGTTCCTTTGCTTAATTTTAGAGACTCCAGTGCTTCACTTATTTGGGAAAAAATTGAAGAGCCATCCATAGATTGTCATGAATTTGAGGAATTATTTTCTAAAACTGCTGTAAAGGAGAGAAAGAAACCTATTTCTGATACTATCTCAAAAACGAAGGCTAAACAAGTGAGTATTCTTGTGCTTTCTGAATTTGGATGGTATTTCTGGCATAAAGTGTGAACTTTCATTGGAGAAAAACTTTGGAATAGTTTCTGGGCTGTGTAAAACCTCCACGGACCTGACACAGATAGCAAAGGTTAGAATATTAGAACATGGGGTTAAGTAACGCTAGTCCAAATAGAACAACAAATAATCATGTCCATTATGTGATAATGCCCTCTTCCATTTGTAACTTCATAATACATATTTCCAAAATCTCAGCCATAATTTCCTTCCAGAACTAGTTATCTGAAAGTAAATTGTCACTTGATTTAAATCCATCTGAGTGCTAGTATGGGTGGGAAGAAGGGAAAGAGTGGGCAAAGAAAAGTAGGCAAGAAGTTCCATCCTTAGTAACCGATAATGTGTTTGGTGTTTTGTTGCATTATAACCAAAGCACACTCTATTAAAATCCAGCTAAATAGTCACGTTGTACTTGAAATATGGAAGAAAATCTTGTCTCCATTTCTCACTTCTGCATTCCATGTTAGATCCTTCCATCTAACCGGTGACACTTGAGTAAGAAAAAGTTAAGACTGGTGCATTTCGAGAAAAACATTTTCCAGCCACGTCTTCCAACTGATTTATCCATTGGACTTGATCATAAAATGATGTTGTTTTAAATTTCTCAAGGCTGTCATTCAGGAAGCTGTAGTAAAACCCCACAATAATGAGCTCCAGATAGAAGGAATGACTATTGTGCTCATCCTTTACCCTGAAATGGGGACTGGCTACATTTCCTAACTTTTACAGGGGTGGTAGGAAAGAGGACGTGAGGGCAAAGGAATGGCAGACAGCTCAGTCTTGGGAGCAGAGGAGGGGAAATGAGGCCAGCGTCTCCAGGGTTTCTCTGGCCCAGTCTGCTCAGATGAGTGCCAAGGAATGGGGTGATTCCTTGAATTTTTGCCTCTGACCCCAAAGTCGTAGCTAGACCCGAGCTGTTACCATTGATATTTATTTCAGAGCAGACAGTTCCCATCAGATGGGCACTGCCAAATACAGCCGGGAAGGGATACATTTGAATGGGACATCTAGACTCCTGGAACCCACAGTTGGCTGGGTGGGCAAGCTCACCCTGGGCATTTCATTAATCTCAGAATAACGCAAATCCAAACATTATGCAGTCGAATTTCTCAGAACCGTCTACTGCATAGCACTTGGTTGCTAGTGACCATAGGTCAGTAGCTATAGTAAATGAGACAGTGCCTGGCACATGGTAGGCACTGAATAAATATTTGTTAAGTTAACAAACCAGCCAACGGAGGGAGAAGATTTTTTAAAAATCAGCCATTAGGCCCAGTACTGATTCAAAACCAGAAAATCATTCTTGTAATAATAATCAATAAGTCCAAGGTGACAGTGTTAAGAGGATTAAAGGTAAACAAAGAACCACATTTTCTCTGACAGAGATAAATATCTTAAAAACCTTTTCCATGGTATATTTGCATTATAGCACACTGAGTCCAAGTCACCCTATCTCTTCTCACAGACGGTATCAGAGATGGAAAAGCTGTCCGGGCAAGGTGTATGGTTGGAGAGTACAGACATTGAGGAGAGCCAGGCAGCTAGAATCGTCACTTGAAAAATGGGCAGATGTGGCACAGGGAATCTCTTGTTCGGAGACTAAATATTCAGAAAATCAAACCATGCCTTCCCCACATCCCAACACCCCCTACCTTTTTATTTGCTAAGAAACTACAGATAAGGCAGATGTCTCCCAGTTGCCTGAGACTATAGGATTTCATGCTCTATTTGACGTGGTATTCAGTTTGTAGCTCACTGAAATGTGATTTGTGTCTAAATCATCAAAACTTCAAATTGAACAAGTTGGCATGACATGGCCTCTTTGCATATAAACAGTTGCTTCTATGTGGAGCATCATCTCAACATAATCACCTCGCTCTGTCACTAAGACACTTCATTAACTGTGGGCCAGAGCTTTTGCCAGCTTTTGTCATCATTTGCACTCATTGCTAGTGACGCTACCGATGACCTTCACCTTCAAACAGGGTTCATGGAACAGTCTCCGTCATGACTTCTGATCAGCTTGTTCAGCAACTCCTTGGCTTGGCTCTTGGTATTGAGCTCTGCACTTTGGGTCTGTTTTTGGGGGGATAAAAGCATTTTTTTTTTTACCTTGTCTGTTAGAGAAAAATCACTGCAAAGTGATATATTATGGAAAAAAACTTAGTTTCATTTAACTTCATTGTATTTGGAAGAAAAATCTATCCTTTCCATTTACTTGGGACACTTAAATTTTTATTTAAGGAAAGTATATTTTCAGGATGCATGCAGATAGTTCTTCTTCTTATGGGAAATGTATACTGATTGTATGTGCAGACATTTTGGTAGCTCATAATTCATTTCCAGTAAAATTAATAGCCTTTAATGCCGTGGCATATGTTTATGGAGGTATTTCAAGCAATTCTTCTTATATACAATGGAAGCTGGAAGTTCTGTTTTTCTTTAAATATTTAAAAATAGCCAACTAATTTTTCTGTGATCTGTCTTCTTGAAAGTAAGACTGTGGTTGAATGCACTGGTATTTAACGAGGTGCCTGGGCTGTTTTTACTGTCAGGGCAGAGACATTTTTGGTGTGATAGTAGAAGATTCCTCAGCTGGGCACACTGCCGTTTGGCATAAGAGAAAGAGGGTTATTTCCTCTGGACACTCAGACTAATCGCAATGTTGAAAATCTTGTAATTCGAAATCCCCTTTTCTACAAGGAATTTAGGACAAAGCATTTTATGTTTTTCTCATGGAACGTGTATTCGTGTTTGTTCTGTGATGATTTCTTCACTGGTTCTTCTTGGTTTTGAAGTATTACATGTACGGAGATCAGCTGAGAAGTTATATGGAGGTTTATCAGATGGTAGTTTAACATAGTTCTTCATAACCAAATGAGTTTGATACTTCTACAGTCAGAATTGTTAATTAACATGCTAACGTAAAACAATGATAACACCAACTCTGTCTCTTAAGGATTAAAGAGGAAGAAAGAAAAAGCAATCTCATATGAAGCCCATGTTTGAGCATTGACACACATGCAGACTTGCCTGCTTTTAAGGAAGGCTCTAGAGCTAGTAAGCATTTGGTCCAATCTCTTCTCTATTTCCAGGGTAATTCAGTGACTATGAATGTTGATAATGGCCCTAAGTCACTTCAGGATCTTTGGTGCTCAAATAAAGATTGAATTAAGCTTAACCCAAGTTTATGAGCATGAAAGTGAGTGAATTTACTTTGGAATGATATTGAAAACAAGGATTGCCTCAAAAAAGTTTCTAGGCTGGGCACTATGGCTCACACCTGTAATCCTAGTATTTTGGGAGGCTGAGGTGGGAGCATCATTTGAGGCCAGGAGTTCGAAACCAGCCTGAGCAGAGCTAGACCCTGTCTGTACGAAAAATAACAAAATTAGCTGTGTGCCTGTAGTCCCAGCTACTCTTCAAGAGGCTGGAGGATGGCTTGAGCCCTGGAGTTGGAGGTTGCAGTGAGCTATGATGATGCTCTAGCCCTCTATCCTGGGAGACAGAGTCTCAAAAACCCTGTCTTGAGGAAAAACAAAACAAAACAAAACAAAAAGTTTCTGGTTAATACTGTGTCAGATGAAATCATAAGGACATGTAATTTGGGCCAGGTACAGTGGCTCACACCTGTAATCCTGGCACTCTGGGAGGCCAAGGCGGGAGGATCGCTTGAGCTTTAAGACCAGCCTGAGCAAGAATGAGATCCCATCTCTACTAAAAATAGAAAAAATAATTAGCCAGGCAACTGAACATAGAAAAAATTAACCGGGCATAGTGGCGCGTGCCTGTAGTCCCAGTTACTCGGGAGGCTGAGGCAGGAGGATCGCTTGAGCCCAGGAGTTGGAGGTTGCTGTGAGCTGGGCTAATGCCATGGCACTCTGGCCCAAGCAACAGAGTGAGACTCTGTCTCAAAAAAAAAAAAATTATTATTATTATCATAATTTGGTAAACATGATAGTAGTAGTAAGTATGACAACAACAATAATAACCATGGAAAGCACAAGTCATATAGTGCCAGTTATTTCGCATGTATGAGTTATTGTTTTTAGCACTTCAATCCTCTTATTCCTACCAGATAGAGGAATTCAATAATGTTCCCAAACTGGTAAGGGGCTGAGCTCAGGTTCAAATTCTAGCTGTCTGGCTCCAGAGCCTCTGTTCTTCCTAATTAAGTAATAGTTACAGATGTGAAATATTTTATATGAGTGTAAGTACAGTATTTTATTTATATGGAGGCCAGAATATATACTTTTAAAAAAGAATTTGAATTAGTATTGGTTTTCACGTATGATCAATATTTAAATGACTGCGATTACACTTACAAAATTGTATGTGAAGACACTTTTAAAACCTTTTCTATCTTCTAACAGATTCTGACAAGTCCATAAACTGTGATGCCACCAAACATGACATTTGCCCAGTTAAATAAAAGTTTATCTGAGTGATGTGAGCTTTAGACATACAAGCTTCTGTAAGCAGTAAAAATTAGAGCCATTTGCTTGTGTGGCGTATAAATAGTGGTTAGAAGCAGACAGCCACTGTGGTTAAACCTCACCAAATGTCAAGTGATGGTACTTTTTATTCACCCCATGACACAAAAAGAACCATCTTTGTAAAATATGCCTTACATAAATAATGTCTAAGCATGTTTAAAAGGTCTGTAAAGGAACGTGCTACCCACAATGTAAATTTGCACAAAGAAGTTAACAAGAGTGAATAAGAATCTGCATCTATTTTATTTCAAATTATTATGGAGGTACAAATGTTTCAGGTTACATGGATCATCTTTACAATGCTTGAGTCCTGGCTATAGGTACACCTGTCACCCAAGTAGTGTTCTTAGTACCTGTCACAATCTGTGTTATTTTTTAAAATACGTAACTGACATTTGTTTAACCATTTAGTGTAACACAAATGAATCTCTTCATGGGTTTCTTCTG